AAAAATCCTTTCAGGAAGTTGTGTGGGAGATGCAGTTGGTACGTGCAATTGTGCTGCGTGTTCGTCATTTGTGGCCTGCCAGGACGACTCGGTTTGCGGTGGGCTCAGAGGAGCGTGTAACAAGCAAACTGGACAGTGTGATTGTGAACGCGGTTTGCATTCACTTCATTTCATTCAGCACTTGCCACGCTTTTTAATCGCACAGTTCAATGCGACAAATTTTCCATCCTTCAATCCGAATGGAGTCAACTGAGTGAAGAAGTACACCGGACGTCTGATTTACATTTCCGCTAATTCCTTATTGTCCACATTTCTCCTATTTCAACACATTCTCGAATTTCAACCAACTTCTTTTATCATACGAGGAGCTTTTTGGAGGAAATAGCTGGTGCATATGAGTGAGTGCGTGATGACATTGTTGGTGACTTATGATATGCCTTGAACATAGTGCGGATACAAATAATCAGTGATTTAGTTGGATTAGAAGGTTTTCAATTAAAAATTTTGATGATGTGGCTCAAATTAAATGATGTGCAATTTCAGGATTGAAAATGAATGGTTTTAAGAGCTATTTCGATGCGTTGATGTTCTTTTGTAACATTAAAAGAGGCGTACCAAACACGGATAAATGCTTTGGACTTCCTTGTAATAGCGGACTTTGTGCGTGTTCTTAAGTTGAATTGTTACACCTGACTGCATTTTATCATTTATGTTATATTGCGAATTGTGATACTGTTTGTGCTCTTTTGAATGTAAACATTCGATTTAAATGTTGCTATAAAATTGATTTATTTTGCCACATTAAATGAATTCCTGTGTTATTCTTAATGTACTGTCACAGCAGCAGCAGCATACATATTTTCGTAAATGCTGACGAGAAAATTGTGAGCAGAAAATAATTGGAATGCTTTCGTCGATGTGCGTTGATTTGATGATGTGATTCTTCGTTTATGTTGAATCATTTATCGTGTCTAATGGACACATTCGGAACGAGTCACGCAACCGTCGAGATGCATCAAAACGAGGCGAATTCGTTTCATGTGATTGCTTGAAAAAATCCGACAAGATATGCGTTCGCCGATTTGAATTGGACAAGAAATGTTAATGTGGAAACAGAGCAGTGGCATTAATTTTAGAGGAAGGTCATTAATCTTAGCTCGTTATTGATAGGCATTCATTAAGAAGTCATGAATTCAAGCATCCTTGAAAAGATGTAATTCTCATCTTGAGCAAGAGCCATTTCCATGCTTCTTAATAACAGGTTTTGAGGGAAACGAATATGAAACGAGCAATGCG